TAGCTCAATTTTGTGTGGTGCTACCACTGGGAAGTATCCTTCCTCCCAGACTCTTCATCTTGTGACTTCAGATGCCCCCAAGTGTTGTTTGCCCTTAGCTAAAAGAGCAAGCCAGAAAAATATCCCCTACTACCAGAAAAATAAAGTGTATAGCCAAGATCCTCCCATTAGGATACTAGAGGGATGCTATAGCAGGTTTTCATAGGGAAGCCTACTAAAGTACATTATATAAGCCTCTAGCTTTAACTCTGCAAGGTTGCTTAAAGTGATCTTCACCTACAAAAAACTAAGATCCTATATATAAAAGACCTTACATGAGACAACAAGGATCATAATTGATCTGAACCATACAAACTAAAAATATTTTAAGTTCAGTGTTAAATTTACCATATAACGCACTGGGCTGGGCCCCAGCAGAGCCTACAACATTTCAAGCCATGGTGACCCCATAGCTGAGCACTGCTTAGTATGTGTGGGTATTCCAGATACCCCCCCACAAAGGATCCACATGTTAATTAGCCCTCCCCACTCAAAACTAGGTGTTCTTGTCATGAGTCCTGGGATCCTTCAAAAAATTATATGCAGATGAGGTGCAAGGCAACCTGGGTTGGCTCTACCTCATGAAGGGCAGGGCCACACTAATGATATGCAACAGGCTGAGAGAGGAGGTGAGAGAGGGATTCCGGATGAACTGGTTAGCCTCTTTGGTGATGTTTGCCAGACATTTAATGCTGGTGAAGAAACAGAAATGATTGGAAATGGGAAGGAAAGATACATCTCATCTGTGGAAGTAAAGAAAAAGTAAAAATACATGCAGGAAAGGGTAAAGATCCTCAGCGTGGAGTTTGGCCCAGAGCTGATGGAGTGGAGGGCATGGGAAAAGACAGAGGGTGAAGCCAGACAGAGACTGGGGCTATGGCAATCACACTGCCTGTCAATGGGTGGGGGGTGGCACTGATGAAGATGGTGCTTCTGCCAATGCTGTTACACACTGCTCTAGTCTTCTCCTGCCCCCTCCAAACAAGTTGTTTGCAGAATCCAGAGAACCATGTGTGTTTTCCTTTGGAACTCCACAAGGGTGAAAGTGGCAAGGGCTAAGCTGTACAAAGCAACACGGTTCAGAGGCAGAGGAATGCCAGACATCTTCCTCTTCCTCTGGGCCAAGTACATGAGCCAGGTTTGCAAACTGGCAACAGAGGGGGAATCTAAAACAGCCAGCTTTGTTAAGTATTTTACAGGGTGGTTGCTGCAACAGTGGCAAGTGTACACAATGGCTAACGGGAGCCCATGGATCACGTTTTCCCCATGGTTTTATGAGATCCTGAAGTGCTTTTGAGAGAAATACAAGCTGCATGATGCTACTCTAGCAACTCTGGTAATCCACCGCAAGATATGGGAGGTGGTAAGGGCAAGAGACACCATATCACCAGTAGACTTACTACTTAGTGACAGCTGCCAGGCCATGTGGGAACAAATCTTTCACAAGGACCTGCAGAAGAAGCACAGAGACCTAAACTGGCAGGAAGCCCACTGGGCACTTCCTGTGTGGGCATGGAGAAACAGTGCAGGGCAGAGAGGTCCATTGAACTGCCTGATCCTACCAGCATTTCAGCATCTTATCTGGCAGGGGAAATGCCATGATCCACCACCACAGTGGATGTAGTATTGGTTCAGGTGGTTTTGCTGTACATGGAAAGGGAGAGCTCTTTTTGTGTAGTTGAGGGTGGAGACTTGTCCATTGCACTGCAGGTAGACACCCCTACAAGAGTCTGCTATAGCCTCCCAATGAGAGGATCTTGATTACACACTTTATTTTATGGAGGTGGGAGGGATCTTGGGGTGTACATGTAGAATGCCCGCCATGGACTTGGGAGTATCTGAAACCCCAGACTGAAGAGTCTGGGAGGTAAGATACTTGCTGGTGGTAACACACAGACCTGAATGACTGAGCTCTTCTGAGTGGGTGGAGTTTAGAACTGATTTGACTAATTTGGCCTGAAACATGAAGTTGGGGACAGTGTTAGTGGTGAAGGAGAGGGAAGAGAAAATGCAGCTGAGCCCAGAGGGCAAGGGATGGCATGGGACAGGGGAGAGGAGATTCTTACATGCTTGAAAAAAGCATTTTTTTACATGTAAAAAAAAAAAAATCCCAGCTTGAGGGACTTAAAAAACAAATTCCTGCTGCTGCTCCTGCAGGTTAGTTTTGCCCAAAACAGAGTTGAGGGATGCTGGGAGCTGGGGTACAGGTCACTACTCCCATACCTTCCATCTCATGAAACAAGCTCTGGAGAAATCTTGCAGCTGCTTTAGGGCAGGCTGGCTCATTCACAGTCCCCAAAGGGAAGGGATGGAGCAGGGAAGGTAACCCCTGGCACACATGCTAGAGCATGGCACGTGAAAGCATTTTGTTTGGCACATGTGCCTCGGGGTGGATGGCATGAGGATGTGAGGGACCTGATCCTTATTGTGGCAGTGCATCCCTGGCCCCTTCCCTGCCTCCCATCTCAAGGTGTGCATGCACCAATTGCCATCAATTAACCGGTCCGGGACTCCACAGATCTTGGTGCAGCTGCAAGCAGCTCAGGCTCTGTAATGGGTAGCAGTGGCCTGCCCAGAGCCCAGGATGTCTATGGCAGGCAGCTAGGAGGCTGCAAGTGGCTGCACTGGGGTCCACAGAGCCCCAGACCAGCTCATTGCTGGCGGCAGGTGTACACATGCCTTGGAGTGCATGGCAGGGAAGGGGCTAGGGCTGGGGCTGTGATGCCACAACAAGGATTGGGTCCCTTGTGGCTCCCCCACTGTCTGCCCCTGGTATGCTAACATCTTACAAATTGAGGTTGTGGGTGTTTTTGGCACTCTGCCCAAAAATGTTGCCAACCCCTGGGATAGACCATGATAGATTTTGTATAAGTCCCAGCATATTCCCCATGGTTGTAGATCTGTGTGAGGGTGGTACAGCAACTCTGAGAAAGACAGTTCTTCCACACTGTAGCAGGATGGAGTCCTAGGGTTGCCATGCTGCCCATAGGTCCCCTCTCTGTCCCATGCCAAGCGTGCTCCAAGCACCCTCAGAATCTCGCCTGCCACATCTTTGATCTTCTGAATCATAGGGAGGCTGCCCTTTGTCCTCTTAGCTACGGTTCCTGCAGAATGCCAGACCAGCGTTCGGTACAGGTGTTCAGGTACACCCCCGCCTCATGGGCTATGTATGGCTCCAGCCACCCCTGTATCACGCCCCAAGCCTTGCTGATGCACCAGACATTCATCTGTCTCTCTTGCCCACTCTCTCTGGGGCCTTCTGGCTGCCCGCTGCCTCATGGGGCCTTCTCGTTGCCCCTGCTCAGGGCTGGGGCACCCACACTGTCGTGGTTCCCCTATGAGGCCTCCTCCATCCCCTTATAGCCTCACCCAGTCCTCTGGTATAACAACACAACAAAACACAAGCCTCTGCATTATAACTTAAATTCAGGCCTCACGGCTAAAACATCCTCTGAGCCACACCACAAGTGCTCCCTCTCTCACCCGTATCACCAGCTGTACCCACATTCAGGCTTTTCCCTTTCTTCGCTCAGGGCAGAGCTCCTTCTCCTTTGGTCACAGGCCGGACCCTCCCTTTGCCTAGTCTCAACCTGGGAGTTATATAGGAGCCAGGCCTGCCCCTTCCGGTCAGCTGACTCAACAGGTGTGGGCCCCTAGCTCTTCCTGGTTGCCCTGGCCAAAGCAAAGCCAAGGTGTTTAGCAAACCTCAAAATCACGTAGTATAAGCATGTTAACCAGCACTATAAAATAGTGGTCTACCACAGTGTTATCAGCACGGCTACTTCTGAGTGGAAGCCAATTCAGATGCCAGTTTTAATGCAGCTAATGAAACAGGTGAGTGTTTCACTAGAAACTAATAGGTGAGTATGAGCAGATGTCAAAGCAAATGTTAGACAGGAAGTGTAGCGTGTGTTGAAAAGCATCATCTGACTGGTTAAGAAGAAGGCCTGTTTGCTCTTGCTAATCGTGGTGCAGATTAAGAGTAATCCCAATGAAGTCAATGGGGTTATGGTAGGGGAATTAAGATGGAATCCAGGCTCAAGGAATGTATCAGGGTTTTTTTACTGAAAATTGTGAAAGGTAATCGGTGTCTCTAAAGTTGACTGGGTCGTTTTCCTGTATCTCATGAAGTTACATGGGAAGCTGAATATCAGGCATTTGAACTGTTAACTGAGAAATGTTGACCATGTTCTGAGTCAACTGTGACAGCTGAGTGCCCCTCCAGGAATCATCACTGCCCTGGGGCTTTCTTCAACAGCAAGTGTTATTAACTTGCAAAAAAACCCCCCGGAGCCATTGTTATTGGGTTTTACTTGCTTCAGCCATATTGTCAGCTGAAAACATCAGCTTGCCATGGCATGATTTACAGGATTTTGTGAGATTTTCATGAAGAACTTAACCCAGTGGGAGCAGAGATTATTCAAATTATCATATTTGTGATTATTTTTGAAGTACACTCTTTGAGTTTTGCAACACTAGCTGGGATTAACTCTCAGAACCCCACCTTTTCCCAGGGTGCTGGAAGAAGGACACAAGCTTTGTACAACACAAAGGGCATATTAGCAAAAATAGGGCTTCACTTGGAAATAAGCTCCTGGAGACCTTTGTACGTTTCAAAATGGCACAGAAATAAGGCTGGGAAGTTTAGTCCCAGCATTGTCATCAAGTTGCCTGACCCTTCAATGCTTTGGTTTCCCTATCTATGAAATGAAGATAATACTGCCTATCTCACATGGGTTTGCAAGACCCCACATATTAATTTTTCCATTGATCTTGCATCTCCTTTTCTGGGACCTCAGAGCAAAGTAGTAGCCATATCACCAACTTGGCATATTGAAAGTGTTTGGAGGAGGGGGCAATAGTTTGCTTTCATCCAGTCCTGTACAGTCCCAACCAGAGAGGGAGTACCACTCTGTCATCACTACCATCTCTTCTTTAAAGTGGGTTTTAACGTTCCTTCCTTCTTTTGTGCAGGGTATGGTAGCTGGAGGGAACTGGCTAAGGCTGTGGACCCAAACTTGCAGCTTTATTATCCTAAGAAGCCAGGACGCCAGGTAAGAGAACTCGGGAGTCTTTTAGACAGTTGAGAAAATGTTCTTTTGGACCTGCCTGGCAGGTCTTGGATCTAGGCATCAGCACTTCCTATATGCACAGAACAAGTTCTAATCTCAGTGACCCTGGTATAGAAACAGAACAACTCCACTGTTATTGGTGGTGTCACTCTGGATATATGTTGTCATAACGGAGGTCTTTACCTAGCCAAGAAGGACACAAGAAGGCATAACTAAGCAAGATTGGATGTAATAGAGGGAGCTTTCAGGCTAAAGGCCTGTATGTAACACAGTGAGGAATGATTTCACAGGGGAAATGGTAGAATGTCCATTGCTTGGGACATTTAAAATAAGTCTGAACAAAACACTAGCAACTAAACTAAAGGCAATACTTTACAGCTCCAAGCTGGTGAGGAGGCAGGGAGTTATTAAAATAACTCTGGGGCTCCAGGTAAGAAAGCTAAAGTGAGTAGAGACTAGATCTATGTAGGCCATTTGGATAGTAGGCCTGTGCAAGTCGGCAGCGGTCCGATCTGGCTTCAGATCCGGCAGCTTCGGATGGTGGCAATCTGATCTGGAGCTCTGGACTGGGTTTCCGCCTCGATCCGGCCAAAGCGGCTCCGAGATCCGCCTCAGAGATCCGGCCATAGGGTATAATGGGGAATCAATGAAATATCTATAACTTTGTTGTTTTTTTGCTGATTTGGATGAAACTTGCAGGGATGGTAGCCTCTGATGACAGCATGAAACCTGCCACGTTTCAGGAATAGCGGTGCAGGGGTTTGGGGGAAACTGTACCCCAAATGCTTGAAAGCAAAACTCCTGTCACGTCTATGTGTTACAACACAGGTGGGTGAAAACGGCAGGGCTGGTAGCTCTTACTGAGGCCTCAAAACCTGCCACGTTTCAAGAAGATTGGTGCAGGGGCTTGGGGGGAACTGCCCCCCAAGCTGCTGACAAGCAAAACTTGACCCCAAAGCATCTGAACCTTCTCCAGATCTGAAGCTCTGTCTGAAGCCTCACACAGCCCCACTGGATAGTAATGTCACTGTCTCCAGTGCCAAAGATGGTGAGCACCTTACACTCCACTATGCTTGTGACAGCTTGTGAATTCTTTGAGAAGCCCCTGTGCACTTGCTAGCTTCTCATCAGCCCTGTGTAGACCTCCTAATCCTTATGTACATGTGATTCATCACTTCTAATATTATTTTTACTTTCTTTTGCCTGTTTCAGAACCAAGAGCAGCAACAAGGTGGGAGGAATAGGTCAGATTTTCCTGCAGTGGACATCTCTTCTCCTTGGATGCCAGAGGTTGGTGTTCTCTGGCACAATTTCCAGTGAGAGAATTGTAGCTAGAGGCCCCCAGAGTAAAGCTGGAAGGGAAGGGAATCTACTTGGGATCTCTGCAGCTGCTCAAGGAGTCTTCTGTGTCAATCCCTTCCCTGTTGCTGAAAGCAAACAAAGGAAATAATCTGGAAAGGAATTACCAGATTCTTGACAATTTGGCTTCTGACCTAGCTACCAGGAATCCATACCCTGCCTCTTGAAAGCAGCCAGGCTGCTTTCCTTGGAAGGTGACCCTTACTCAGAGCTGGGAATGTGTAGTGCAAAGAATCCAGCAAGCAAATACATAACTGTGGCATGTAAGTGTCTCACACTATGCTAGTGCTCTGGCATCTGTCTGCTATCCAATCCCTGTGTTTTGTGTGTAGGAGGTCTCCTTCACCTCAGTGACAATGCTAGGAAGCTGTGACCCTTGAGAACCTGGGTAAATATTTCCTTTCCTTTCCTTGAGGCCTTATTTATTCTTTCTTGCCCTGCCTCCTTATCACACTACTCTTCAGATAATGTAGCAATGCAGCACTCAGACAATATGAAGAGCACAAGCCCTAGAGTGTTTGGCTCATGAAAATAGCTTCCTGAGTTCCAAAAGGGGATTAGACACACACACACAAATTAGCATGGCATCTGCAGTCTCACTAGCTAGACAACAAACTCTAGTCCAAATGCTTCAGGACATAAACTGAGCACAGCTGGGAACAGAAGGGAATTAGTTTTCCTCACCCCCGTCCTCAGCAACAGTACTGAATGGTTTGGGGCATGATTAGAGAGTTAAATCTTTCCTTGAAGCATCTAAAATGGCCATTATCTGATACTGAAAGTCAGGTTGGCTGGACCATCAGTCTGTTCTGCCACAGCAAGTCCTATGGCCCCTGATCACAGCTTGAGTCTGTTGTCATCCTCCAGCTGCATGGCATTGTCCCAGTGGCAGGCTGTGTGCTCAGCACTGCCTCTTTGATGAGACACTGCTGGCTGAGGGCCATGAGGATGTGACAGTCAGTATTGTTGCTATGTGCAGGAGTTGCATGGTATATTTAGCTGCTTTCCTCTCCCATGGTAATGGGCATTTTGTGTTCTACATGGTATCTCCCTGGCCTGCATGGGGCTCTGCCCATCAACTCCAGTCCCCAGAGGCCTCAAAGCAACGCTAAGTGCGCTTGTCATGAAAGTTGTCAGGTACTGGTTCTGTTGCAAACTTGATCTGTCTGAGGTTCCTTGCTCAGCACATTGTCTGGAATAGAAGTGTGGCTGTAGGATGTGCTTTGCCCCCTAGAGAGATGGTGTGCCAAGAGTAGAGTCATGATACCAGCCTGTGCTGTTGAAAATGCAAGGTGGTCTCATCCCCCAGTGTAGTGATGGGTCATGCAAAGCACAGAGCAAATGCACAAGCCCATCTCCTGCTGTGCTGCTTACAGGTGGGAAACTGAAAAACAGATTGCACCATCCAAAGCAAAAGAAGAGGGCCACAGCCTGGTTTGTGCAGCTGTCCACCAGTCATTGGGGAAGGCCTTAAACCAGGATCTTCTGTGTCACCCTCCATCTTGTGCTGCTCTTGGTACTGATAGAATGCTCTACTATGCAGCAGAGCTGGAATGAAAAGCAAAAATGGCATAGATCAGTGTTTCTCAACCCCTGGGTTGCAACCCAAAAGTGGGTTGCAAGAATATATGCAAGGGTCACGAACAAATTTAAAAAAATGGATTCTCCTTTAAAGGAGAAACATGTGGGCAACCACAGTATTCCAGCCTGCAAGGGGCTACTTGGGGCCCCCATGCCCCAAACACCCCCCTATTACCCCACACACTGGGGGGCTAGGGCCTGGGGGTAGTGGGGTGGGAGTGAGGGCCCCTGGGTTGGGCCTGGCCGTCGATGTTTACAAATGGGTCCTGGTACAAAAAAGTTGAGAACCACTGGCATAAACAGGGGTTTGTTACTGATTGCTATAGCTTTTAAAAACCCCAGTCCTGAATCAGGCCCCTGCCCCATGCCAAGTGTTATATAGAACCATGTCAAAGCAGATCTCTCCCCAAAAGCTTACAGTCTAGGTGTCTGAGAAACACCTGATGGCCACTGGAGGGGGGGTTCATTTCAACTGAACTTAGCCTACAGGCAAGAATTGACCACCTGCCCACAGTCACAAGTTCCCCTCTGTGGTTAGTGGAGACCTGGGAGTTGTGTTTCTCACTGTTCTCCTACTTACTGTAAATCAGTGGTTCTCCAGCTTTGCAGACTGGAGGCAGCTCTCCTCAGACTAGAGGCACCCCTCAGAAAATGTCAGCTCCTAATTTTTACTCATTTTTTGACTACAGAAAAAGAATAAAGCATTGCTTGTGTTGCAAAGGACTCAGAAAAACCACAACAGTTCTAAATGCTTTGAATAGTTCAAATTCCTGTTTGGTTTATCTTGTGAATCATGTTTGCACACCTCCTAGTGCTAACACTGTTCAGCACCCTGTGGCGCTCTTGAAAGCATCTCAAGGCACCCCAGGGTCCTGTTACACCCTGGCTGGGCGCATCTACAGGAGATGTTTACTGCGGATTTATCTAATTAGCTCCGCAGTAAAGTCTCAGAATCTACATGTGTGGCCCTATTAGGACTCAGGAAACCAGTTAATTCTGCCGTGGGTTAGTACTTGTAAACACAAGTACTATCCTGCAGTGGCATTCTTTAGTGTGCAGCAACATATGGGTAGACACTGACAAGGCTGACTGTGGCACAAGAGTGCTTCAGTGTGGGGGCTGCCTGGTGGCAAGCCTCACACCAGAGTCCCTCATGCCCCAGCAGGGTGGCCATCATTGAGGGCATTCTGATTTTATGCTACTCTGTCCTCTGTCCTCTATTGATACAAAACTGGATGTCTTTATGTCCTCTCTTTGAAGGGAAAAATGAAGGACATAAAGGCATCCAGTTTCATATCAACAGAGGACAACTGGAGTATCCTTTATGATGGCCAACCTATGTCTCAGCCAGCCACTCCACAGCACATTGAGCTGAATTGGAGCAGCCCTATGCTGGCATGCTGACCCCCAGGGCTCCCTGCCAGCCAGGGCTGCTCCAACCCAGCTCAATGTGTTGCAGTCCCAGGCGCACAAGTAAATGCTGTGTCCAGGAGCAATAAACTCTAGTGCAACAGTGAATTGCAAATCACTGCATTAGGCCTTGTATGTCCAGTTTGAGGGAGGTGGCAAAGGGCTGTCAAGCAGATCTTCTGCTCTTCCTCCTTCGAGGGGAATCTGCTGCTCCCCAGTAGTTCCTTCTTCAAATCTGTACAGAAAACATTTCCCACTCTGGTGCTGGTTGTGGTGCAGTCTCTGAATGCAGAGGACCAGCACAGCCTGCTCCCAGGGTTGTAGCTATAACTGTACAGCCCTAAAAGCAGTCAAGTACTCCAGTGTTACGCTGTTCACACTGTGGTGGTATAACACAGCTACTGAGGAGTCAAGCAGAGTTATATTTAGCTCAGGCCTCTGCTTCAGGCTGGAAAGCAGCTTGCTCTCCTGTTAATCACCTGTTGAAAGTTGTAGAGGCAGGTGGATTAAGTGAAGAGCGAAGCTTCCGTAACTCAGCACAAATTAATTACACAGGATCTATGATCCCATTGTGCCCCATCCACTCTCCCTACAACCTCCCTAAGAACTTAATTGCAGGCCGGCTCCTGTGGTGAACAGGGCAGTTCCTCTCCCACAGGTCATAAAGCTGGCTTCATTTGAACAGAAGGTGGCTGTGCCTGACAAACATGAATAATTAAGAGGGTTTCAGGGTGAATGTACAGCAGCACTGTGCAGAGGGAGGGAGAAGAGAGAGAGAGGTCCCGCCTGCAGTTTGAGGACATGAAATGTATGTTGGTTGGCTGAGGGATTTTTGGTTTTGGAAATCCACTAAGAGGGAGACTCTGCACTAAGGAAACAGGTGCCAGCTTCATCTGTGGGATAAGTTTGTGTTTAATGTACACGCTTCTCTTGTGTGGGAGAGGGGAGTTCAATCTTGTCCATTTACTGCTGGCCTCCCTGCACCTGTAAAACGCTTCTACATTCCCAAACCTCTCTGCAACAGTCAGTATAGTCAGTCACCACATACTCTTTCCTACAGGAGACTGAGACTGGACAGGCAGCTGTCACTGCATGAGCCAAGGAGGAAAGGGAGTTGCCTCTCAGTTTAGGTACCCACCCAAGCCAGGGAGAATGGAAGAAGTTCCCTCCAGAGGTTAGCAGAGGTGTAGGAGCGGGGCTGCCGCTGCTTCCCCCTTACTCCCTCTCCTGCACCTCACCTCCTCCTACTCTGTCCCTCCGGAGGGAGATGATAGAGGTCTGTCAAAACAGAATGAGAGCATCTTCTCCCCTGGTGCTGCCGCCTCCTCCTCCTCCTCCTCCTCATCATTGATATTCATAATAAGATGCTAGGGCTACCTCTTTAAAGGTTGCTAGAAAGGAGTAATGGAACATGTCAACAGTGGTCCCAGACCCTGTCAGGGTCCCACAAGGCCCATCTCTCTGGAGCCCCAGCCAGCATCTGCAGGCAGCTGTTAGAAGAAAAGACTTCAGGAGTCAAACTCTCAGTGAAATGCAGAAACACAAATTTGCTCAGTTTTACACAACCTCCCCCCCACACACGAGGGCCACTGCTACACTGGCACGGTACCAAGATCACTCATGGATGGGAAGATACAGGTTCAGTCTGTACACCAGGGAGGAGGAGATTGTGCTCGTAATCAGAGAGAGGCATTATGAAGAGTGGTAGATATGGTTCAGTCTCCACCAGTCAAGGACAGGCACCCTGAAATCAAAGTGGCATCAAGTCTGTTTCTCCTTGCTGATGCTGAGCTCATACACAGTCTGTCAGTGAGTAATGCAGTCTTCTAACTCTGGCTACTGTGGAAAGTTGCATCTCATCTGACCTGGTTTTAATGCTTCATGCTTTTTTGTCCCCTCCCATCTGAGTGATAACAGTGCAGTGTAGCTGGTCTTACAAG